CAGATTTCGCAAATTTAAATTAGATTTTTTTATGTGGACACAGTTTGGAATTTTAGTGGCTAAAAGTATGTTCTTTTATTGCAAAATGCACTGTCTTTATTTATTTTAAATAATGATCAATTTAAGCAACTGCAAAAGAAAGCCTTAATCTGCTATATCAATGAATTATGCATGGCTACAGACAAAAAATGAAGAAAATGTCTGTCTTAAAAGAAGGGGGATAATTCTGAATAGATAAACTTGCATTTAGTGTGTGTGTGTGTGTGTGTGTGTGTGTGTGTGTGTGTGTGTGTGTGTGTGTGTGTGTGAGAGAGAGAGAGCGAGCTTGTCTATTGCTGGAGCAGGTGGGGTCGTCGAACCCGGAACGTCTCGAATGTTCTAATCACATTTAGGAGTGAGGATTGTCGTGCCTGCTGGAAGTGCATCTCATGAGACGAGGAGACAGGCGGTACAGACTGACAAATAGACAGGCGGAGAAATAGACGAGCAGAAAAGAACAATAAACAGATATAAAGACAGTAGATAGACATACAAGTTATGAAGACAAATAAATAGATAAATAAATAAATAAACATTGTTTCGTTTTAGTTTTAGTTACAGTTTTTCGGCACTTGCAACACAATAAGGTCATAATATAAGTGCCGACGATTAGAGCTGTTATAAGAGAGTAACAAACACAAACAAAGAGGGGAAGTAAAGACGATATATGTTTGATAGGAAAGAAGAAGCAGACCACACCAGACTATCCGCCAAACACCCAAATAAACATTGTAGGCACGGACTATAATATAATTAGAAGTAGAAAGACTGTAGTACGACAGGGGTCAGCTCTATGTTCCCTCAGCTCTATGTTCCCTCAGCTCTATGTTCCCTCAGTTCTTTCTCTCTCTGTCTCTCTGTCTCTCTGTCTCTCTGTCTTTCTCTCTCTCTCTCTCTCTCTCTCTCTCTCTCTCTCTCTCTCTCATTTCATTACAGAAGGAGGCGGCAATACCTAATTCAAACAATACCGTAAGAAAAGCCCACTTTGCATTAACCCGAGCTAGCTTTCGGTTAGGTTCTGTGTATTGATGAAGATTTTCACGACACACAAAAAAAATAGAGAAAGGTAAAGTTTTTATAATAAAGATTTATATTAACAACACCTAGAAAACTTAATCTTGCTAGGGGTTGATACGATTCGGAAAAGATAACCCCATTTTTGCAGAAAGTTGACGAATAATAAACATTGGTACGCTGTAAAATAACCATTTATTGTTACTCTTTTTAAAAGATGAAAACAACAATAATATGGAGGTTCAAACCTTTTCAAAATTCTTTCCAGAAGCGTCACAGTAGTAGCCAATGTCCTTCTCTAGGGAGGCCATAACGCTGAGCACGGCGTAGTCCTGGTCACATGACGTCATCTTCCTGCAGTAGTTGTTGACCATGGAGGAGACAGGCAGGAGGGACTCCGCTCTTGTGTGCTCACTGTCCACCAGGGTCTGAGGGAGACACAGTACAGTTATGTCTGTGAGTTCAGGTGTCCATACAGTGAGAAGATACAATTATGTCTGTGAGTTCAGTTGTCCATACAGTGAGATGATACAATTATGTCTGTGAGTTCAGTTGTCCATACAGTGAGATGATACAATTAATATGTCTGTGAGTTCAGTTGTCCATACAGTGAGAAGATACAATTATGTCTGTGAGTTCAGGTGTCCATAGAGTGAGAAGATACAATTATGTCTGTGAGTTCAGGTGTCCATAGAGTGAGAAGATACAATTATGGAGGTAAGTTCATTTGTCCCTACAGTGAGATGATACACTCATGTCTGGGGGTTCAGTTTTCTATACAGTGAAGTAATACACTCATGTCTGTGAGTTTAGTTGTCCATATAGTAAAATAAAACAATCATGTCTGGGAGTTCCGCTTGTCCATATAGTAAAATAAAACAATCATGTCTGTGACCAGTTGATCAAACAGTGAAACAATACAATCAAAATCGATGAGTTCTGTTGTCTATCCAGTAAAGTGCTGGCAGGCCAGATGACTAAGTTCGTAAGTGCGTGGAAGCACTTAACGTCAATAGTTATAAGGTATATTATGTCTGCTTTGGTACGTCTACAGTCTATTATGTCTGCATTGATACGTCTACAGTCTATATGCATGTTTTTTAAAAAAATTTAATATGAGTAGTTTGTGAAACAAAACTATATAACCCTGTCAAGAATCAGCTACTTTGACTACCGAGACCTCACTCCCTGAACTGATCACCATGCTGAGGGCAATAAAAAAAAATATAATGCGGACCTCGTCTAGTTTCGAACTTAAAACTTTTGTGAGCAAATTGCACCACTCCCGCATTCCCAATGAATACACCTCACCTTTTTTGTTAAATCGGGACTTACAAAAAGATAAACGTAGACGTTTCTCAGCTTCCACCCATAGAAAGACAATTTATTATGTAAACTAGGACTCTGGAACAACTCTGATAGATATGTGACATAGTGGATGGTTAGGGATATTGCCAGTTACTGTTGAGTATGAATACTCCTGAGGAAAGTGAATAATACAATAATCATACCTTAGCATTGAGAAGCATATCAGATGTCGGGGCTTGAACGAAACCCAAAGAAGTGATCCAGGCCTGAGCTAGCATGCCCTTCACATCTTTGTCGGTGATCAGTGACGTCATCAGTTTCACAGAAGCGCCAGTGGAAGTCAGGGGCAGAGCATCCAAGAAGAATTTGCTGAAAAAACAATAAAACATTGGTTTACATAAACAAAACTCCTCTACTCTTATATCAAGAACTACCCCTAACACTTGGTTCTTCAAAGTATAATACACCTCAAAGTTATGGTAAAATATTCAATAAGAGACTTAATAAATTTCGGAAAACAGTGCAGCTCACGACGTTTACAGAAACTACTAATAGGCTAATAGAAGTGTTTATGGATAGGCGGTATTTCCTTTAATGCATTGCAGTAGTATTGAATAAGATCTGTTACCAAACATTATCCCATAGCATACAATAATATTATCATCAGTCGTTATGTTATGGATACAACAATCACTTTCAACAAATCAACGTGAATTAAAAGATTGCAATCTGCATCTTCTTCTCGGGTCCAGAAAACGTTACTTGCCACAATTGATATTGAGACACAATTAAGTTATATAAGTGCCAGAAAGTAGAGGTGTTACTAGAGAGTAATATACAAAGACAAATAGGAGGAGAGATAATGTCCACAAATGTTTGATAGGAAAACAGAGTAAACACAACGGGGCGCCCGCCAACCACCCGTCCAAATTATTTCAGACTACTGTGTTCACAACGTGATTGTGATAATGAAGAACGCCGGACAGTTTTCATACACAATCAAACTAATATCAATTTTCAGAACACAGACTGTTCCCAGAGCTTACTAGGTCTTCTCGTTCTCTGGGCAGAGGGATTTGGTCTTGAGCAGTTTGAGCAGATCCTCCAGGTCCTTCTGGGAGAGTGACCGCATGGCACTGACCAACTCGGAGAACTGGCGTGGGGACTCTGATCTGACGTCTTGCTGGGACGTGGCACAGATGTCACGCAGACGTCTGTCCGCCTCCACACGGGCCATCTTGGTGTCTGGCAGGCTAGCAGAGTGGTCAAAGACCAGAGTGTCTTTACTTCTGATGGTGGCTGTGAAATAAATGCACATATCTCAGCATGGTGTTGTAGCAGATTCTCCACTCAGGATAACCTTTGTTTTTGTTTTTGTTTTTTTAGTATAAAAATACCAAACTTTGGTCATATAAAATGCCTCCATACCATTATGAAGAAAATAATCGAAGCAAAAATATGAGATACAAAGACTAATGGTACACAACGCAAAATGCGGGGCTACAACATCAGAGCCGTTGTTTAAGGTCTCTAGCTGCTCTCGTGTATTTATTTCCTTATTCAGCACCGTCCTTTGCCGGCCAATAGGATGACATAATATGCTGTTACTACAGCACGAAAGATTTATTTTAGTAAGAAATTTACGAAACAGGCAACACAATTAAGTCGTGCAAGGGCCGAAGATTTGATGCTTAACAAGAGGGCAACAAACACAAAAAAGAAGAAGGAGAGATAAGGATTATAGATGTTTTTATCGACAAACCACGCAAAAGCATTCGCCCATCGTCCACACCCAAAAGAGTCTGAGCTTAAATTGTGTTTTGTTCTATGTTATGTACTTCCATCGTTTACGTGCCCAAACAGATCTAACATTTTTTTGTTTGTCGTTACCTGGGCGAGATCTGACGCCAGATTGTGACGTTTTGAAGGTCAAGGTCTGCTTGACCTCGGTCATCCCTCCATTGTTTCCGTTGGCGAAGGGCCTGTAGACGTGAGTCTCAGTGCACGTGCTGGACTTGAGAACTCCGGCCTTCTGGATGTCCTGCTCACACTCGTGTGTGGTCTTCATGATCGGGAGGGACTGAATCTCCTGTGGAGGCGGGACAGTGGTGTTGAGTTGTGAGGTGGTGGGGCAGTGGTGTTGAGTTGTGAGGTGGGACAGTGGTGTTGAGTTGTGAGGTGGTGGTGGGACGGTGGTGTTGAGTTGTTAGGTGGTGGGACAGTGGTGTTGAGTTGTTAGGTGGTGGTGGGACAGTGGTGTTGAGTTGTTAGGTGGTGGGACAGTGGTGTTGAGTTGTGAGGTGGTGGTGGGACTGTGATGTTGAGTTGTTAGCTGGTGGGACAGTGGTGTTGAGTTGTGAGGTGGTGGTGGGACTGTGGTGTTGAGTTGTTAGGTGGTGGGACAGTGGTGTTGAGTTGTGAGGTGGGACAGTGGTGTTGAGTTGTTAGGTGGTGGTGGGACAGTGGTTTTGAGTTGTGAGGTGGTGGGACAGTGGTGTTGAGTTGTGAGGTGAGACAGTGGTGTTGAGTTGTGAGGTGGTGGGACAGTGGTGTTGAGTTGTGAGGTGGGACAGTGGTGTTGAGTTGTGAGTTGGTGGTGGGACAGTGGTGTTGAGTTGTGAGGTGGGACTGTGGTGTTGAGTTGTGAGGTGGTGGTGGGACAGTGGTGTTGAGTTGTGAGGGCTTACCATGAGTCAAAATAGCAACGACCATAATTCACCAGAAACACTATTATGATTGTAACGACAACACTAGGAAAGTATAAGATGCAGACC